CGCTGGCACCGCCCCTGCCCAGGCCTAACGCCTCTGGCCGAGGCATTAGGCCCATGCAGCGACGACCCGCAGCTGCAGCCACCCCGAGATCGCGGGCTCCACCCCTACTTCCCGCTATCACTGGCCAGTGCGGCAAAGGAGCCCGATTCTCCGATCATGGCTGGGGGCCCTGCCCCCCGGCTCTTAGCTCCCCCCTGGGTTTCCGATCACTGTCAGTGGCAGGGGGCTTCTTCCTTGCTTTCCCTTTCGCCTCCCTGCATTGTGCCTACATATGCAAATTAACCGCCATCTTTGTTGGCGGTTAACCGCCATCTTGGCTGGTGATTAATTTGCATATCTCGCTAATTAGCCAATGGGAAGGGTAGCGGTCATACGCTAATTACCATGTTTCTCTTTTATTAGATTAGATTATATTATATTATACTAGAGGCCCAGTGCATGAAATTCATGCAGGGGAGGGTCCCTCAGCCCGACCTTCACCCTCTGGCAATCCTGGACCACTGGCTCCTAATCGCTCGCTGGCCTGCCTGCCTGATCTCCCTTAACCACTCTGCCTGCCTGCCTAATCGCCCCTAACTACCTCTGCCTGCCAGCCTCATTGCCCCTAACTGCTCTGCCTGCCTGCCAGATAGCCCCTAACCACTTGCCTGCCTGCCTGATAGCCCCTAACTGCTCGCCTTCCTGCCTGATCACCCCTAACCACCTCTGCCTTGGCCCCTGCCACTGAGGCTTCATCAGGAAGGATGTCTGGAATGACCTCCGGAAGGTTGTTTGGCTGCCCAGTCTAATTAGCATATTATGCTTTTATTATTATAGATTACAGCTGGCTCCCAACCACTTGCCTGCCTGCCTGCCTGATTGCCCCTAACTGCTTCTGACTGCCAGCCTGATAACCCCCTAACCACTCCCCTACCAGCCTAATCTATGCCTAACTGCTCCCCTTCCGGCCTGATTGCCCCCAACTACCTTCCCCTGCCTTCCCCTGCTGGCCTGGTCACCCCCAAATGCCGTCCCCTGCAGGCCTAGTCACCCCCAACTGCCCTCCCCTGCAAGCTTGGTCACCCCCAACTGTACTCCCCTGCAGGCCTGGTTGCCCCCGACTACCCTCCCCTGCAGGCCTGGTCCCCTCCACCTGCCCTTCCATGCAGGTCTGGTCTCCCCAACTTCCCTTTACTGCTGGCCTGGTTGCCCCTAATTGCCCTCCCCTGCAGGCCCAGTTGCCCCCAACTGCCCCCCCCCACAGGCCTGGTCTACCCCAACTTCCCTCCCCTGCAGGCCTGGTCCCATGCAACTGCCCTCCCCTGCTGGCCTGGTTACCCCTAAGTGCCCTCCCCTGCAGGCCTGGTCCCCCCAAATGCTCTCCCCTGCCAGCCCAGTCACCCCTAACTGCCCTCCCCTGCCAGTCTGGTCGCCTCCAACTGCCCTCCCATGCCAGCCATCTTGTGGTGGCCATCTAGTGACCACATGGGGGCGACCATCTTTGACCACATGGGGGAGGCATCTTGTGCGTGAAGGTTAATTTGCATATTACCTCTTTATTATATAAGATTATATTCTCAAGTTTAATGTTCTCCCCCCAAAGTTTCTAGTGACTTCTTCTCTACTTGACATTATTGGTACAGTTAAACACAGAAGTATGTTTACTTAAACTTCTCTAAGTCAATATTCATGATGTTCCCCAGATAACATGATTCCAGTTTCTTCTCTGTCTGAATATGAGAAACTACTGAGCTATGTGGTCTATGAAAAAAAACAAGAACTAGGTGGCTAAGTCTTGCATATATTAAACAGTTAAAAATATTTGCCTAACAATCGAATGTCACTGGTTGCAGTGGATCAGCGTCCCTTTCGCACTGTCACATCCTGCAGTTACGGACATTGGGTTTACGTCTACACATGCCAAATACCAGGCTCCTTGGCTGGGCACCATTGAATCATTTGAAGTCTACACTTGGCTTGACAGTTTTCTGTTGTTGGTAAGTGGTGTCTTAATTGATAAATGCAACCTAATTTTTTTCCTAAAATCAAATGCATTTTCAAGATTTAAATGTTTCTATGTAAATTTCACCTACTGGCTCACGATCATTTCTGAATATACTACTTTCTATGGAAGGATGGTGCTGACTGGTGTCAAAGTGGAGAGCAAGTGAGACCCTAAAGAATAACGGCCATGGGATTGTGTGTACACATTCCTGTTGTGCTGTAAATGAAGGAATCCCATGCCATACTCCCAGATACCTCCTCAATCTGAGGGCCAAGCCAACTAAAAGTTTTCATTTGTATTTTGAATTAGGCTTTAAAAGTCAAATTCTTCTGAAATAATGAACTCATTTAGTTTCTACATAGTAAGTAAATTAGTGGTGCTACAGCCTCACGTGTCTGAGACAAACTGGGAAAGGCATCCTTAGGGAAGAAGGCCTGGGCAGTTCGAGGTGACCTGGGAATAACAGAACCTTGGGGCAGAGGTGCTGTCAGTGAGAAGTGAGTATGGAAGAAATAAAGGCAGATCACAGATTAAGAGAAGAGGGAAAAACAAAGGGACCTACCTGCCAGATTTTGCAACTTTGCTAATTAGGAGGATTTTGTATAAAATAAAATAATTTTATATCAAAATTAAGGGAAAATTGTTTATGTTTTCTCTTTAGATGGTTCACAGTTTACTATGATTGTACTTTGTCTTTGTGGTACTTGTTAAGTTTTAGCACTGAAATTAGATGTATCTATCTCAGTAAAGAATTTCCTGGTAAGAAGGCAGGAGAATAAGAACAAAAAATGTTTCTTATGGAGGTGAGGGGTCTTGTTTTCCAAGGATTGTTACAAAATGTATTGGCTAAAGTTATCCTTAAATGGGTCACAATTTTGAATTTAATGCAGAAAGTATCAAGCATTATATGTGTATGTAACTGTACCTGCATGGTGGGTATGTTATGGTTATATGGAAGAGATGAGGAGATGCAGAAATGAAAGGCAGTTTGTTAATAATAACACCATTGTTTGAGCAAGGCATTGAAATAGAGACGAAGCAAAACCCCAAGGTCCTTTCTTCTATATCAATTAGTCCTCAGGTTTGCTAATCTTCAAGATAAAGCATTATATCTAATGACTAAATTTTTCCAGCTCAAAAAGTTAAATGATTAAGTCATGTTCATTCTTTAAATTGTAAAATAAGTTGAAATGAATGAATGACTTAACTATAGAAGTGAGCCTTGACATGTCTCACCAATGGTCTATGATCTTCCACTTGTCATATAAAGGGGGATCTCTCAATCCCATTCTGAACTGCCCACTGTCCCTGGACTAGCACAAGGTAAGGCTGACAGCTTTTCTGGCCTATTGTGATAGCCCATCAGTCGTCTCCCTGAAGTCAGCCCTCGCACCTCTCACTCCTCCAAGCCCATTTTCCACCTGGCCACCAGAACCCCTGCTTGTCAGTGGAGGTCAGATTTTACCCTACTTGTGACCTAAATGTCAAGAGAGATTGGTATGTAAATTATTATATATCAACTCATAAAATCAGTGATATTATTGAGCAATATAATTTACATGGAAGAGGTTAATTATATGTTGATTTACAGTTTGCAAAACAAAAATTTGGAAAGAATATAGACTTGAGACATGTGATAATTAATTTTAGAACTTTTTTTACCTTTTTATCTTTTACTGTTAAACATGTATGGATTTTATAACAAAGGAATTGCTCTGGAATCAGTATGTGCCAGGCCCTCTAAATTGGCACAAATGTGACAATGACTAACAAGATGGATTTTCCTGAATTGAGAACTGGGTGAGAGAAACAGGCAATTATATGGGAAACCCATTCATCAATTCTTTCATTCATATGATATACAGTATGTTTATTAAACACCAACTCTATGCCAGTCAGAGGAATGTGACAGCAATGAATGGGAAGGCATTTTCCCAGCCTTCCCTCTAGCCATTCCCACATACCCTGACTTCCATTTCCACAAAACACATAGTGTTCTCATAGCTGCTTCATCATTCCTTTTCTTTCTTTCTTTTTCTATTGGATTCTCTACCAGTTACTCTTTTCTCCCTTCATCTCCATCTAGTGACACTCTCCCAGGACTTAAGGACTTATTCAAATGTCATTTCTGTAGGTTTCCCTAATTACTAGGCAGTTGTGCTTCATTGTGCCTTTCCACCCCTCAGTTACCCCCAAATAAGTAATTGCTTCCCACTTCTGTTCCCATACACACCTCTTTACAGCAGGCAATACATTATATAATAGTTCAGTGTCACCAAGCTTTTTTCACAGTATTTCCTCAATACAAATTTTAAATACACTCTCAATGTAGGTAAATGTACTTATAAATTATTTATATACACTTTACTGATACATTGTGTACTTTAATAAAATAGCCATATGAGGTTTAGGTATGAGGTAAAATGAGTACAAATAGAAGTTCTGATAATTTGGATGCCGAGTGCATTGTCTGGAGGCTCTGCATACCCTGCTTTGGAGAACCCTGCACTGCACTGACTCTCCTGGTGGACAGCGACCCAGAGCAGAGCCATCCCTGCTCCTCTTTGTGCTCTGACAACCATCACCTTGTCTGGCACATACTGGAGTTCAGAAATATTCACTGGACTGTATTGATTCAAATTTTAAAACGCCATGTTTTCAGAATCTTAATTTTTTGAGGCAATTTTGTGGTGGTTAGTTCCTCCAGATAAGAACAAAGAGACTTCTAGGACATTGTAATGCAGCTTAGAGTAGGTAGATTTAGGGAAAGATTGTCTTGTGTAATTACGAAGGAAAAGAACTGGAAGAGATTTCACACAATTGTAAATGTGATAATAACAAAATAATAACCATTGAGGTATATGGCATATGGGAACATTCTTTATACTTTAGCGATATACATACAACTATTCTGAATGTGATTATATAAATATAATCTCATGTTGAAAGTATCTAATACATGCTATTTGCCTCTAATAAAATCCTGCGTCCCTTTGGTTCCCATGCAGATGTTGGGTGGAATCCCATGGCAAGCCTACTTCCAGAGAGTCCTCTCTTCATCCTCAGCCACCTACGCTCAGGTGCTATCCTTCCTGGCAGCTTTTGGATGCCTGGTGATGGCTATACCATCTATACTCATCGGGGCCATTGGAGCATCAACAGGTACCTCTCTTGCAGCTTCACTCATTGACCCACTCAAGCTCCAGCAAAGTTACCAATAGCCACAGTCCACAGCTACTCTCCCTCTCTCACTTTCCTCTTTACCCCCACATCGTCCATTGTTATAGTGTTTAACAAATCGTATTATACATTCGTAGTCTCCAAACATTTTCCAACTTCTCATCCCACTAATAAAATATTTATAATCATCCCCTCCCTGGACATTGTTATATTTATCAACTGTGTATATGTAATCCTGTCAGCTGTTCTACTCAATCAAGGTACAATTCACATCTGTGCGGAGGAGAGGGACTCTAAAAAATATCTATTTCTGTCTCACCCCACAGGGATTTTACTTTGATAATCTAAGATAGAGCCAGTAACCAGGGTTTTTAAAGTCCCCTTGATGAATCAAAGTACAGCCAGAAGTTTGCATGCCATTACCATGACCACTTTAAACCTGAAAGTGCTGTTTTACCTTTCAATTGTTTGTTAATGAAGTTTTTCTTCTTGGAGAAATCAGTCAGTAAGTGTGTAGATAAAGATAAACTAAGGCACTAAGTCTCTTAGAGAATAACTTATTCAAGTTGGTAAAAAGAGCATTATAAAATGTTTGCCTCCCAGTTAGCCTCTATCTTGAACATTTTTTTAAATCTCACCCTTAATTTTACTGAACTTATTGATTTTTCCCGAATCATATATTCCCATGTTATACACTTTTTGAGTATTTTACACAAATATGTCATATTAGCCCTGTAGGTTCAGCTAATTAAAATAGACTCCAGAAGCTGACCTTTTATTCTGTTGTGCTTGTAAATATTATCCAGGATGATATCCACAGTTTGTAGAGCTATTTATTGGATGACAAATTTTAAGAGAGCAGTTATGGTTCATATAGTATGCTTTTATTCCAGTTGTACATACATGACATAAGCAAACATTTAAAACAATGTCTGATAATGGTGACTGAGTGCCTTTGAATAAAAGATAGTATTTATGTTACAATCAGAAGACAGATCTGGCCATTAGTGTATGCAAGTGTGTTGCAGGACAATCCACTGAAAAAAATATAAAATTTATTTTTTATGGATTAAGTAGACATTTTAGTTGCTGTTTTTTCTGGTATCATGACATATCAGTTAATGCTATAAAATTGGCTTCATCAAATCATGGCTTTAACAATTGTAATGGAAAATAGGGAAAAGACTTCTATTTGATTCTATAATCATGACATTACAGAAGTTAGACAAATAAAAAAGAGCTATATTAATGTACATGTATTCTTTAGCATATGCTAGTACAGAAGTACCCCATTATCCAAGGAGGATACATTGCAAGGCATGCAATGAAGGCCTGAAATTGCAGATAGTACCAAATCTCATATAGTAAATCCTCACTTAGTACCAAATCTCATATAGTAAGTCCTCACTTAACATCACTGATAGGTTCTGTGACTTTAAGCAAAATGATGTATAATGAAATCACCTTTACCATAGGCTAACTGGTAACAAGCAAGAGTTAGGTTCCTATAAGATCCCATCAACAATATAACAAAACTAGAGAGGCCCGGTGCATGAAATACGTGCACTCAAGGAGCATCCCTCAACCTGGCCTGCACCCTCTTGCAGTCTGGGAGCCCTCGGGGGATGTCTGACTGGTAGGGAGCAGGCTTAAGATGGCAGTCGTATATCCTTAGTGCTGCCACGGAGGTGGGATAGGTTCTAGCCACTGCCACTGTGCTCTCCAGCCATGAACCCGGCTTCTGGCTGAGTGGTGCTCTTGTGGGAGCACACTGACCACTAGGGGGAAGCTCCTGCGTTGAGTGGGATAAGGCCGAAACCGGCTCTCTGACATCCCCCAAAGGGTCACAGATTGCAAGAGGATGCAGGCCAGGCCGAGGGACCCCACTGGTGCATGATCAGGGCCAGGGAGGGACACGGGAGGTTGGCTAGCCGGGGAGGTACCGTGGGGGGGATTCAGGGCATGTCCTGCCCATCTTGCCCAATTGGCTGGCAAGCTAACCTATCAGTCACAGTGTCTGCCTCCTGGTGGTCAGTGCACATCATAGTGAGAGGTTTAGCAGCCTTAGCAAATTATTAGCATATTACGCTTTGATTGGTTAAATGAACGACCGGACGACCGGACAACCGGACGACCGGACGACCGGACACTTAGCATATTAAGCTTTTATTATATAGGATGATACTGACTGAAATGACATTATTCAAAGACCTGATGTATATACTATGTTTTATTTTATACATACACTAGAAGCCCGATGCACGAAATTCATGCAAGGAGCTCGGCCCTCGAAGCCACAGTGGCTTGCCTCAGCCTGAGGCAACCGCGGTGGCTGCCTCGGCCCTTACAGTCCCAGCTTCTTCTGGAAGGTTGTCCAGAAGGATGTCCGGTCTAATTAGCATATTATGCTTTTATTATTATAGATACCTATGATTAACTTTAACATATGTTAGGCACACTAATAGATTAACAACAATCTAATCTAATAAAAGAGAAACGTGCAAATTGGCAGTACCTTTGCTAAGCCCCAAGCCACGCCCACCAGCCAATCAGAGCAACTATATGAAAATTAACCCAACCAAGATGGTGGCTGGCAGCCACGGAGCTGGAGCAAGCAGGGGGCTTGGTTGCCCAAGTGATGGAGGAAGCCAAGCTTCCTGCCTGCCCTGGCCAGCTGTGGCCTCTGGTAAAGGCAATAAAGTTTCAATTATAGAAGATAGATAAATCCCAGATACCTGCTTCCAGCCAGCCTCCACTGGGAGCTTGGGTGACTGGGGGCAGTGGCCAGCCTGCAAACAGCCATCAGCCCCTCACCCAGGCTGACCACACCCTCATGGGGTGAGGGTCCCTGCTGAGGGGCTTTACAGCCTGCAAACAGACATCAGCCCCTCACCCAGACTGACCAGGCACCCCAGCAGGACGCCCCTCCCTGAAGTGGGTGTGACCAACCTGAAAATGGCCCTCAGCCCCTCACCCAGGCTGGCCAGGCACTCCAGAGGGGACCCCCACCCTGAAGGGGGTGTGGCAGTCTGAAAATGGCCCTCAGCCCCTCACCCAGGCTGGCCAGGCACTCCAGAGGGGACCCCCACCCTGAAGGGGGTGTGGCAGTCTGAAAATGGCCCTCAGCCCCTCACCCAGGCTGGCCAGGCACTCCAGAGGGGACCCCCACCCTGAAGGGGGTGTGGCAGTCTGAAAATGGCCCTCAGCCCCTCACCCAGGCTGGCCAGGCACCCCAGCGGGGCCCCCACCCTGATCTGGGACACCCTTCAGGGCAAACCAGCTGGCCCCCACCCATGCATCAGGCCTCTATCCTATGAAATAAAAGGTTAATATGCAAATTGACCATAACAGCAGAACAACTGGGAATGACTGGTCACTATGACACACACGGACCACCAGGGGGCAGATGCTCAATGCAGGAGCTGCCCCCTGGTGGTCAGTGCGCTCCCACAGGGGAAGCTCTGCTCAGTCACAAGCCAGGATGACGGCTTCCAGTACAGCGGTGGTGGTGGGAGCCTCTCCCGCCTCCTCAGCAGCGCTAAGGATATCCGACTGCAGCTTAGGCCTGCTCCCCGCTGATAAGTGGACATCTCCTGAGGGCTCCTGGGCTGCCAGCTTAGGCCCAATCCCCCAGGGAGCAGGCCTAAGCCAGCAGGTGGACATCCCCCGAGGGGTCCCAGACTGTGAGAGGGCACAGGCTGGGCTGAGGGACCCCCGCCAAGTGCACAAATTTTTGTGCACTGGGCCTCTAGTAACTAATAATAAAATAGAAGAATTATAACATTATGTTGTAATAAAAGTGATGTGAATGTGGTCTTCCTCTCAAAATATCTTATTCTGTGGTACTCATTCTTCTTTTCTTGTGATGAGGGGAGATGATGCAATGCCTACATAATGAGATGCAGTGAGGTGACTGGCATAGGCACTGTGACACTGCCTAAGGGTTACTTAAGCTCAAGCACTGTGATACCAGATAGCTACTGATACCACAGTGACTGATGGGTGGGAGCATGTATAGCATGGATGTATCTCTGGCCAGATTGGGTGGGACCATACAAGACTGCATCACACACTAAAATGAGGTACAATTTAAAACATATAAATTGTTTATTTCTGGAATTTTCTAATTTCAGATCAAGGTTGATAGTGAGTAACTGAAGCCAGTGAAAGCAAATCCACAGACGGGGAACTACTGTATAACTAAATATTAAAGGAGCTATCTATTAAAAAATACTTATGTTTCAAATCCTTTTACCACAGAGTCCAAAAACCTTCTGAAAATTTCAGCCTGGTATCTGCATTATTTTTAAAATATGTTTTTATTGGTTTTAGAGAGAGAAGACGGGAAAGGGAGAGAGAGAAACATCTATGAGAATGAAAAATCAATCATTTGCCTCCTGCTCACCTCCTACTGGGGATCCAGCCTGCAACCCTGGCATGTGCCCTGATCAGGAATCCAACCAGTGACTTCTTCCTGAAGGGAATGATGCTCAACCAACTGAGCCAAACAGTCCAGGCATATCTGAACTTTTTAATCAATAAAAAGGGAATTTCCTTTATCTATCATACTTCCTATTTCTAGTAACTGATAGCTGATACAAAAAGGAATTTAATTAGGAAGAAGTAATGCTGAGGAAGCTCCAAACCCAAGTTTATATACAGAAAGAGGATTAGTGAGAATAGCCCCAGTATTGTCTTCATCCATTTATGCATTTATACCTGAAGACTAAGGAATGAAACATTGTGTCTGCTCAAATGACTGAAGAAATCATCTATGTTTCAGTTTAATACTTTTTATATGATTCTGTACAATGGAATGCCACAATTTCAGAAGATGTAGGTAGGTAGGTAGGTAGGTAGGTAGGTAGGTAGGTATGTAGGTAGATGATAGATTGGTAGATGACAGATAGATGATAGATGATTGATAGATAGAGAGATAGATAGATAGATAGATAGATAGATAGATAGATAGATAAATAGATAGATATATAGATAGATAGATAATAGATAGACAGATAGATAGATGAATAGGTATATCTATCACAACCATATTCCATGCTGGTCTTTTGAATAAGACTAAGTATAACCAAAACCCATTAGAATCTAGGACCTATAAGGTAATTTCACTTGACCAGTACATACCTGGTTACAGTAATTAGACTTCCCACCTAATTAAGCTAATTCATACATTCTGATTTTGTCTTAAAAACTAGCCAGTAAATAGGATGACCCCAGATTGACAAAGAACATATAACTTTTGGTTCTCCTTATGCTTTTGTTTCTATTCAATAGACTGGAACCAGACTGCATATGGGATGCCAGATCCCAAAAGCAATGAAGAAGCAGACATGATTTTACCGATTGTTCTGCAGTATCTCTGCCCTGTGTACATTTCTTTCTTCGGTCTTGGTGCAGTTTCTGCTGCTGTTATGTCATCAGCAGATTCTTCTATCTTGTCAGCAAGTTCAATGTTTGCTCGAAACATCTATCAGCTTTCATTCAGACAAAATGTAAGAAGGATGTTTTAAATCTTACATTCTTGTTTTGTTGTTGTCTTTGTTAGTATATTTCTTATGTATGTAATATTACATACTTATTAATATTATATATTAAAATTTGATCCTACTTTCATTAAGCACATAAGGTTAAATAATGATGAGTTTCACTCATGCTATATATAGGTATTTTTAATGCATGTTATCATTCATGTTAATACTAAAGGAAACAAAGAAATATAACTGTTTCCCAAGATGTTTAGTTACATTGTTACAATTTAAACCCTCCTGTCTAGTGAAAGAGTAATGAAACCTAAAATATCTTAGAATAACTTTGAGTTTAATTAAACATGTTAAGAAACTTGAGAACCCTAGTAGAAGTAGAACATGGTAAATAATTTCATGGGGATTTGTGTTAACATCTGTCTTTACTCTTCACTTGACTCTCAAGTCCACCTTTGTCCAAAACTAATCTCCCAATTTGGTTTCTTTACTACGTCTAGTGGCTGTAGAACACCATGCTACTGTGGGCTACTGAGGGCCCTTCTGCCCTTCTCCACCTTCTTCCTTGACTAAGGCTTTGCCTTTCTCTAGATTTTCTAGGTCACTGTTAACAAAATGTTCCCACTGGTTTTTGAAAGTGGTAGCCTTAAAGATGGTAGGATTCCTATGGAGAGAAGAAGCAAGGATAAACCATGTCTCCTCACTGCCACATAAGAACTATTTCTTAATATGTAAAATGAGCAAAGCCCCAAACCCCCACCTTTGTGCTCTTCTTCTATGACAGCAGGTTAGCTCAGCTCATCACTGCCCCTGCACAGTCCTGGAAAGGTGTGGGTGGTCTGTCCCTGCATGCTGTACTCAGCAACCTTCCCAAAAGCCAGCTAGATTGCTTGCTTCATAGGCTGTGTTTTAGGTTGTTTTTCCCATAAGTTGAGCCAATTGAAAGCAAGGAATTCTTTTGACCAGCTGTGGCAATTTCTTGCAGGCATCAGACAGGGAAATCGTGTGGGTCATGCGAATCACAGTGTTTGTGTTTGGAGCTTCTGCAACAGCTATGGCACTGCTCACAAAGACCGTTTACGGGCTCTGGTACCTCAGCTCAGACCTCGTTTACATCATCATCTTCCCGCAGCTCCTCTGTGTGCTCTTCGTCAAGGGAACCAACACGTATGGAGCCGCCGCAGGTTATGTTTCTGGCCTCTTCCTGAGAATAACTGGCGGGGAGCCATATCTGTACCTGCAGCCCTTGTTCTTTTACCCCGGCTATTACTCTGATAAGAATGGCATATACAATCAGAGGTTCCCCTTTAAAACTCTGGCCATGATGACCTCATTCTTAACCAACATTGGCATTTCTTATCTAGCCAAATACCTATTTGAAAGCGGAACCTTGCCACCAAAATTAGATGTGTTCGATGCTGTTGTTGCAAGGCACAGTGAAGAAAACATGGATAAGACCATTCTGGTCAAAAATGAAAATATTAAATTAGATGAACTTACACCTGTGAAGCCCCGACAGAGCATAACTCGCAGCTCAACTTTCACCAATAAGGAGGCCTTCCTTCAAATGGATTCCAGTCCCGAAGGGTCTGGGGCTGAGGATAATTTACAATAGCCCATCTAAACAAAACACTGCTTTCTCAGACTTATGTAGCAGGCTAGTGCTGGAGGGATGGTGTGCAGCATGTAAAATATATTTAAAAATAACATCCAGGAAGACAAAAAAATCCATATAAAAGTGCACCTGTACAAGCGCAGGCCATGCTAGGAGGAGTACCTATGAAAGCATCAGCTTTGTTTCTCATTGCTGTTTCTCAGTCCCACTTGGTTTTGTCTCTGGATAGTTTTCCTAGTAATAAGTAAAGCCCCACTCAAAGAACAGAGGGCCAAACGGAGTATCTTTATTATGAAAAAATGAAGTATAAATGAAGGAACCAAGGCAATTAGGTCATTTGATCCAGACCTTGTCTGCTAACACACTGGTGAATGTAGTTTAATCACCTTCCAGAAGCTATGAGCATGACGCACTGTTACACCAATGAATGGTGCAACGAATGAGCCAGCTTATTTTCTTGATGGATGACGCATCCCTTAACTTGTGTTCTTAACTATAGCACATGTTGAATATGCAATTTGTTTTTCTGTTGGTAGTGGCATGTATTACTCTGAGCATAGGCAAAGCAAACACAAAACATTTTATGGTGATTTTTTTATGTGCAGGGTGATAGGAAAATAGAATCCATTTGCGTGGAGGAGCACTGGCTTTTTGAGTGTGTCCCCAGCCACTGTATGCGCTGAGGAGAGTACCTGGGGCAAGGAAGACATGGGTAGTGGGCAACCTTAAAGCCATAAACACAAAGGTCGTTAAGAAGAAGTAACAGGAAAAACAGTGGATTTTTATCTTCATTTTAAGTTTATAAAGTTCTGATTCATGATTAAAGAAGTAATGTCTGGACTTGGAAGTGAATGTGAGCCATGTGTAAGGTGAGGTAGCTCCATAGCACCAATTAAGGCTAATGAGAGACAAACTGCAAGTCCTGGCAGGAGTAAAACTAGAAAAATAAAACCCACCAATTTATTTATTTATTTATTTATTTATTTAAATTTTTATTACACTTTATATTCAACATTATTTTGTATTATTTTCAGGTGTAAAGCATAGTATTTAGACAGTCATATATTTTACAGGATGATCACCCTGAAATTTCTGGTACCCACCTGGCACCATACATAGTTACTACAATATTACTGAATTTATTCCTTATATTGTATTTCACATCCCTCTGACTATTCTGATTACCAATTTGTACTTTTTAATTCATTCATCTGTATTAATGAGGATAATTTATTGCTAAGAGTGTGAGAGGTGCTGGGGCTGGTGCTGGGTGAAAGAGGTGAAGGAGTTAAGCAAAAATATCCCAAACAAATTCGTAAGACACAGACATCAGTATGGTGAGTACCAGAAAGGAAAGGGGTAGGGGCTGGTAAAAGAGGGTAACAAAGGGATAAATGGTGATGGAAGGGACTAGAATTTGGGTGGTGAATAAACAATACAATATACAATTAACATATTATATAATTGTACAATTGAAACATATAATTTATTAACCAATTTCACCCAAATAAATTCAATAAAAATACATTTTTAAAAAGCTACTTCATAGCACTTTTTCATATAAGCCAGTCTTAGGTACTGGACAAATCACCACTACAACAAGTATCCAGTAAATTTTAAAATGCGGAAGAAAGCATAAAGTAAAAATAAGTCCTAAAGGGAAGAAGCACCAATTTTAACATTTGGTGTCTACATAACTTTCATGAGGTGGGTCACGAAATATTATTTTGTTCCTTTTCTAGAGTGAAAAATATGTGTGTGTATATATAATGGTTTGTATCCATTTTACAATTCTAAATGCTTTCCCACCAGTAACATAACAGGGATAATTGAAGCTGTGTGTAACAAAGCAAAGAAAACTGTTGAGCTGAAAAATTACCTGAGTATTTGACCCAATAAAGAAAAGCAGACTGAATTATTCAAATGAAAGCACTTTTTCTAAAAGTATTTCCTTTCTGTGATTCTTAGATGAAGTGAGGTTCATTCAATGTTGGACATTCTGTATAAAAGTGGTGATCGAGAAGCTAGACTTCCTGTTTTTAATTGTACTTCTTTAAAAGCATTAGATACTATATCTCTTTGTTATTAAACATGAGTTAAATTTACAGGGTAATTTTAAAACATAAAATTGAATAATTTTACCTATTGTAATATCCCATATTTTTAATGCTTTAGCAAATCTTGATGTTGACTATGACATTGCACTCAGAATCTCTACAGAACATCATCTGTATCTAAATGAAAAGAAAGTTCTTCCTACGCATTTATTTGCTCAGAATCTGCTCCATGCCCAGTGCCCTCTGGAGAACTTGCAAGGAGCAGTTTGGGAACCACTAAGAGTGAGCGTCCTAAGATTCTCAGACATTGATTGAGAAAAGAGCCAGGGGCAGGAAAATATTAGAGTAAAACTACACTGATGACATAACTTGACATGTAAAAGTGATTAATTGATGGGGCTACAGTGTCTGGAAAACATGACACTTCAGATGTGCCATGTTTTCTAGCCTACTACCTGAATCATATTTGTATCCATTCTATCACCACCCATTTTTGTTTCAACCTATTTAGGCTTGTGTGTTTACAGAAAATCTTGGTAACAGAGTACAGCATTATAGCAGAGTACAATAGGGGGGTTTACTCTCTTTACAGACATTTTACACTGTTGCCTGGCAATAATTGTTCAAACAATCATGAAATCCAGTGATTGGTTTACTCTCTTTACAGACATTTTACACTGTTGTCTGGCAATAATTGTTCAAACAATCATGAAATCCAGTGAAAAAGAATAAATATTAATAGTGAAAATTTATTTCATTTCATTCATTTTGTAGAAATAGAAAGATGAATGGAAAATAGTTTACCTTATCAAAAATATTAAAAACTAGATAACTCATTTTAGCTACCACATAATGTTCTATTTTATTAAACCTACTAGAGGCCCAGTGCACGAATTCATGCACCAGTGGGATCCCTCGGGCTGGCCTGCAGGATCAAGCTGAAACTGGCACTCTAGCATCCCTTGAGTGGTCCTGGATTGCGAGAGGGTGCAGGTCAGGCCGAGGACCCCACCAGTGCACAATCAGGGCTGGGGAGGGACACAGGAGGTTGGCCAGCCAGGGAGGGACCACAGGAGGGCTCCAGGGCATGTCCAGCCCATCTTGCTCAGTCCTGATCAGCTGGACCCCAGCAGCAAGCTAACTTACTGGTTGGAGCATCTGCCTCCTGGTGGTCAGTGCACGTCATAGTGAGCGGTTGAGCAGCCTTAGCATATCATTACATGTTATGCTTTGATTGGTTGAATGGCCGACCAGATGACCAGACACTTTGCATATTAGGCTTTTATTATATAGGATTATTTTCTACCTACTCTCAAACTATATGATTTTCAAAGCCTAGGTTACTAGAAAAATCCACTAATAAATGCTGAGTGAAATAAGCAAGATGATTTTTTAAAGGAACAAAAATAGTAAAAGATCAAGAGGAATGAAATAATAATTGTAGAGTCTTTAATTAAGCACCTTCACAAATAAATTTACCCCAGTTTCCAAGGAAGGAATAAAGTTGTGAAGTGCACAAGACAATGTTTTATGCTCATCACTTGCACTGTGATTAGCATAAAACAGGTATTAGAGATATCATAGGTATTAGAGACATCACAGGTATTAGAGACAGCTTTGTATTCTTCCAGCTTTGCTCAGTGGACATAATTTTCAAAAACCCATTCTCAATAAAAATAAAGCAACAGAAACATTTTAGACACTGGCTATATTAACTTTGGAGACAATGCCTGTATAATAAAGCATTAGAATAAAACATTTTATATTTATACCCTTACACTATTAGAATATGTTTATTGGGTAATTTTAGTTTCTTCACACATGCTTTTCAAAACATCAAACTTGTAGATGCGACACAACTATAGAGTCACCAACAAGCTTTCAAATACCAGTGTCAAAATCCAATTTCATTGCTATACTTGTAAGTAATGATTTTTATGTGAATATTAAATGAATGTAAGCTTAAAATAAGTTCATCTAAAGTAATGGCTATTAGCTTTCTTATTTGGAGATAATAAATTAGCATTGTATCTTAAAGATAAATCAAGACTTTCTTTTTAGTCTTTCAGAACATTTACTGTGATATAATGTATAATTTATTGTAAGTTTGCTACTGAATGAACAGATATATAAAGTGTTGCTAAACATATATTTTTGTCTGTCAAAACACATAAGAAAATTTGCAACTCTACATGTAAATGTTTTAAATGTGATGGTTCTATATTAAATTGTGCTCATACAATTCAGCATATTCTTGTCCAGGTTTGACTTTTTGGGGCCCTTTCTTCAAACAAATATAAATGGTGCTTCAAGAAAAATATACAATGGGATTGAAATAAACCATCCAACTAATGGAACTTGTGTAAATGCCAAATGGAAATGTTGCACCTGCAGAAGTCTTGTGGAAATATATGATATCATATCTCAAAATAAGTGAATTATTTTTATTGGAATAGAAGTGCAACCATGATACACAAACCTTTCTTTGAATCAAAGAAGTCAATAGATATAATATATATTCAACTAATATCGAAATCTGATGGTAAAAACCAAATAGCTGTCTGATAATTGTTGATGTAGGATATACAATCACTAAATGACAAACTAGTTCCCATTATGCTTTAAATATGTACTTCATATCTCTTACCAAACTCTCAAGGTGTCTTAAAAGTGTAATTACATATATCGTCGGGTGAACTGCAGCCTCTTACACCTTAATCATAAACATTTGTGCCTTTGGATGTCTATAGGGAGCAGGGATCTAGAGAGAGCTTAAGGATGAATGAAGGAAAGCATAGGTAGTTGTGGCAGGAGACATCACAACCATTGGTCTACCATTGTGGACACACTTATAGAGAACATGCATTTTTGCTTAACCACAAATCTATGCTCTAGAGGAAATTATTAGGAGCTAGAAAAGAGTGTCTAAAATATGATATTGAAGCCTGTGTTTGCTTTCTTTATTTTACTCAATAGTGTTAAGAGAGTTTAATTTGATCATTAGCATTCTCCTTAGACAGATATTCAGAAAGAGATCCAGGGAGCTACAAGATAATGATAAATTATATTAATTACCCAGAAAAAAGCTCCAAATTGTAAAAACAGACATTTCATATTTTTATTTATTTTATTTTTTATTTATTAATGTACTTTTTATTTTTGATAGTATTACAGATATCTCCCATTTACCCCCATTTACCCCACTCTTCTCAGCCCTTACCCACTCACCCCATGTCTTCATAGCTTATTGCCCATGTCCATGGGCTATGCACATAAGTATGTAAGTTCTTTGGTTTATCTCTTCTCATCCCCTCAATCCCACATCAGATCTCATTTTGTTGGTCAATTCATTTTGTTCATTAAATTCCACAAATAAGTGATATTATGTAATATTTGTCTTTCTCAGATCGGCTTATTTCACTTAGCATAATATTTTCCAGGTCCATCCATGCTGCCCAAAGAGTAAGAGATCCCTCTTTCTGACAGCTGCAGAGTATTTCATTGTGTAAATGTCACAGCTTTTTTATCTACTCATGGGCCCTTGGACTGTTTCCAAATTTAGCTATTGTAAATAATGCTGCTATGAATATAGGAGTGCATATATTCTTTCTGATTGGTGTTCTAGGGGTTTTAGAATAGATTCCCAGAAGTGGAATCCCTGGATCAAATGGGAGTCCATTTTAAATTTTTTGAGGAAACTCCATACTGTTTTCCATAGTGGCTGCACCAATCTGCATTCCCACCAACCATGAACTAGTGTTCCCTTTCCTTCACATCCTTAACAGCCCTTGTTGTTTGTTTATTTTTTAATAATAGCCAATCTGACAGATTAATAGTGACTGACCTAGTATGCCATTTAAGGCCTATTTCCTTGGGTTTTGTTTGTTTTTGTC